GCGAATCCACTGCCCACGGAACCGACTCTTCACCCACCAAGTGGCTGTTGCTGGTGCTTTCTCTTAAGAAAAACCTGGGCTCTAAGAAGTGAAATGGAATTTTCCAGAGGTCTCAGAGGGTCCAAGACCTTCGGCATGCACCTGGCATGGCTCGGCTTGGGTATGGACCAAGAGAAGACATTCGGCTAAGAGGTGTCTTCTTCCTCACAAAGGAGTGGTACTGCAGGGATGTCACAGAAAAACCACATTTTGGTACATTACACACATGTACCAACAACGTAGGTGTCATAGTCCGAAAAACCTGTATAGTTTCTATGATGTGTTGACTGTAGTGCGCACCTTCGGTGACCACCCCCCCAAAGTCCAACAAAGATCACCAAAAGACGAAATCCTGACTTCCGCAGCACGAAACGCAAAATTCTCCAAACAAAACACCACCAACTGCATACTCAACTGCATACTTCCCCCCAGCGGAACAAACACACCTCACCAACGTCTCCTTTTCTCCCCCTCCGCGGCGGCAGCTGCTCCTTCGGCAGCCTCGCCAGCTGCGCCTTCACCGTGGCCAGCAACGCGTCCGCCGGGCGCGTTTTGCGGCGCTTGGGGCGTGGAGGTCGACCGTCCGCCTCGCGAGGAGGAACAGAGGTGAGGTCGGAAAGGGTTATGGTATGAAATGCAGGGAGGAACAAACTGAGAAGAAATCATCAAATATGCCGAGTGAACCGTGACGAAGCCTTCCAAAACTACTATAATCAGTGAAATTTGAACCAAACCGCTGGAGGAAGCGGGAGTGGATACGATCCACTCCACCGATCCACCCACGCGATCGACCGCGCCTGGGCGATCTGCGCTGCCTCCCAGGCGGCCAAGACTTGAGCCTTGCTGAGGGACTTCAACAAACGCTCGAGGCCTCAGAGGAACGACACCGAAAGGACCTGGGGAAACGGTACCTCATCTCATCCACGTCAACAAAACGGGGATGTGCTGTGCAAAGATGAAGAAGAAGAAACTGTCAGTGGTAGGCCGTTGTTTCCCTTCTCTGCTGGATTATTTTGTGGAACAATTTTTTTGAAGGGGGTTTTGTGGTGCGACTCGTACTACGAATGAGGCCAAGAACCCCCGCAACAAAGATTCCTTTGAATCCAGTCGATTCTCAGTCCATCATTCCTGATTAATTATAAGCATCAATCAGAACTGGCCTGGCGAGACTCTGACAGAGTCCGCTCCCAGCCCTTTGGCCACCAAGACACTCTTGTTGAGCCCATGGGACCGCAGGAAGTCCTCGTCGGCCACGCGACCGGCTTCGATCCAATCGCCGATCGCCGCTAATCCCGGTCCACCAGGTTTTCGACATCCCATGACTCATGAGAAACCCGCTCTATACACACCAAACAGCTCAGCTTTGGGCATTTTTCGTTTTGACCCAAGCCAAGACCTTCCACTCCTGACCTCTTCAGTGGATTGGTCAGTCTAGTCTAGTGACCCTTTTCCAGCGCTGTTGGTCCTGTGGATCGCCGGTCCGACCGGGTCCGACCGGAGTTTCTTCCCCGATCGGCCGTCGATCACCCAAGAGGTTCCAGCACGTTCCTTGCCGGGAACCCTCTTCGGAGGTGGAACTTCTCCTTGCTTGTGGAACCCTCTTTGGAGGGCAGCCATCAGGTAGCAAATTGCTTGATCATTGAGGATGCCGTCAGCAAGGCGTTGGGAAAGGCGCTCTATGCTCTCCACAACAACCACTGCCATTTTCACAGAGGTGGTGGTGGTAGATGCGGCGATGGTCGCGGGCAGCTGCCACCAAAGGCAGTTGAGAGTGGCAGGGCTTCGAGGGCTGCAAGTTGGGTCTTGAGTCCAGCGGAAGCCGTGCTGACTTAGGGTGGGGAAACCCATTGCCACAAAAGGTCAACGATGGTCAACGGTCATCCACAGGGTATGGAAACCTCCGCAGTGCAGCAAAATCGCAAAACAGGTACAAGCGGCTATTGCAAGCGACTTTCAATGTTTGCGTGCCTTCAGAACCGGGTGGTTTGCTAGTCCAACATCCTGACTTCATTGCTGACAGGACGGCAAAAACAAGGCAACTTCGCGATTGGCTTGTTCTCGGGCAACTTGATCGCAAGTTTGGTGACCTCGCTCCATTTCAACAGCACCTTTCTTGACAAATACCCCCCATGAACTCCATGAAGTCACCGCCCCGAAGGAAAGAAAGGAATTCACCAACCAACCTGTACCATGTCTGCATCGCCACCGGACACCTCTCCACCGTTCGGCTCCGCTCCAGATCCATCCGCCGCTGCAGCTGCTCGAGCATCTCCCGTCGACCCAACTCCGCGACGTCGCCTGCGGAGCGCCAAGCGCGGCGCGTTGTGATGGAGGAGAGGTGAACTTAGTGGGGGAAGAGTGGTGAACAACGAGAAACGGGGTGATAGAAACATATGGAAACTATGATCTTGGGGCCGAGACACCCTAAGACCCACTCTCTGCTGGACTGAAGGAAAGAAGGGGGTCAGTGTAACCTTTGCTTTTCCACCGGACTTTGCGAATCATGAAAGCGCTCAGGGCTTCGCTATAAGAGGCTATAGGCCTTGGATGCCCACCCGTGTCTTACTGATTCTACCAGCACCTTGCACCGAACACACGGGGTCTAATTGCAGGGCCTTCGGCGGCCTTTGGCCTTCTGCATTACATGAAGAGCACGATGTGCCTTACTTACCCACATCAGAAACCGCTCTCCGCCCGGTCTCCCCCCGCCTTCGGCCAGGTCCGGCTCGCGGAGCCGCGAGGCGCACACCACGCCCCGCGCGCCGATCC